ATTACCCATTTCTTCTTCCACACCCCAAAAGTTCTTTCAATAACCCCCCGTAAAGCGGAGTGTCGTTTGTTACATTTCTTTTCTGCCACGAATATTGCCACTTGCTCGCTCAAAATCAGGAATATGGTATCTTGTGTCTGGATATGGCTTCAGGTAGCCCCTTAACATCGAATATTCAACGTCTACTAAATAATATTTTCCTGTTATTAAAGACAATACTAATTAAAAATAATTAATGTAATTATCGAGAGGTTTAAGTAAGATGAACAAACCTGGAGGTGGGTGAGAGAAACACTGTGTTCTATTCCTAGTTGCATAGGAGAAAAGACGACTATCATGCACACTTTCTTCCCACCTGGTAGTCTGGCGTCTACATGAGTGTCATCAATTGCTCCAATACAATTCTATTAGTCATAGTTAGCAACTGAAGAGGTCATTAAGTTAAAGTAACAAAGTAATAATACTTACTTTGAAATACGGCATGTAACGAGAATCATTTGCAATTTGTTCAGGAATAGTTGCGAACGATGTATCTGCTGGCTTAATGATCTGTGTTGCTAAGCTCACAAGTGCTTGTAAACCTTTGGAAAAGTATCGACTAATGGTTTCTGATGAATGTTGAAATCCCTCCATAGCTCCTCTAACTGATTCATTCTGTGAGAGCATGTATAATGTTATTGCCAACACCTCTCTCGTTGTCGTTCTAGAAGAACCCTGTAGGCCATGGTTCCGACATAACTCGTGTAGCAGATCGATAAAAATGGGCGCAGTCATTCTAAAAATATTGATGAACCTTATCGGATGTCCAGCAAGCATCTCACCCACCCATTTGTCCCCAATATAAGAAGACGTCATGCGTGGTATCCGTCTATAACTGGAGCGGTAGTATTCTAGCAATAATATCGCTATAGCTGCAGCCCATGCCATTCTTTTACGGCGATCTTGCAGTGGGTGCATCCTGAAATGATAAATACATTAGGATGAAAGAAAATATGGAGAGGTGGCGACAGAAAATTGGAATAGTGAAAACATCAAGTATTACTTAGCATTAGAAAATAAGTGACATAACATGTTGTAAAGATAGGAAAAAAAACCTGACAATACATAGCATCATAAAATAACAGTAACTGCTGTAATAACAATACATAAGTGACAAGTCTAATGAAAGATTAGTACAAAGAGGAGTCATTCTTCAACTATAACACGTAAATACTCAATGCGCATCTTGGGCCGTAGTGCAATGAACATTTCCCTACTAGTAGGGTCCTCAAGCTTTTGACACATTTTGCCTGAAAGCGCATATCGACTGCTACTTCTGGAATAATATCTAAAATGGTCAGGCAGTCCTGGCAGTCCTAAATCGTACTGACAGGAGGAGTCGGAGCTGTGAAAGCTGCAATTAGTTCAGCAAATGAGTTTCACAAAACTATCATTCTCTTTCTTCCTCCTCGCAAGTCTGGGCCTTTTGGACATGGAATTAGACTCTTCCGTCTCTTTTTAGTTAATACTAGGAATTTTTTCATCAGCTATAACCTGTTCAGGTGGCAAGTTATTTGACATTCCTGTAAATCTCATCTCGCTTGGGTTTGCTGCGTGCTTCCCAGTCGCGACAACCCCCTTAAACATGGTGTCTAGTTTTGCCTCAAAATCCGGCTCAATTCCGCACTGCCTATAATTTTTTGCTGTTGGTAATGTCTGTAACAAGCGTATTTAGGGGGATCAGTTTCTAAATAATTTGAGAAGTAATATAATTGACAAAAAAAAAATTACCTCAATTTTCTCAGCCCACCATTCAGCTGGAGCATCGATCGTCCTTTTAATTGGATC